GGGGAGGGGGGAGTGTAGAAGGGTTCAGAGGAGAGCACAAGGGATCAAAGAAATTAAGGGGAAAGGGAAGAGATTAACAAAATAGAAGTGATCCTGTTGAGGTGAAGAGTCTTAAACTACTCCTAAAATGTCATGTGTTTTCTTTATTTCAGTGTTTACATACTCCGAAAATGGCACAGAACACTTTGGAGAAGAACCAAAAAGTATACATTCCCCGGTATGGGCATAAATTTTGTGAGAATGCAATGCGAATGTGAAGTCATATAAAAGGCTTGTTTTTATGGATAGCTGAGGACCTTGAGTAGGTCTGCTGGGGCGCTATTCTGGAGAAGCATCGATATCTGACTGTCATGTTCTTATACCATTTCTGGGCCACTGGCCACAGTTGGAAGCAATATACAGGACTGGATGGCTCTTTGGTTTACCCATTATGGTCCCTTTTATGTTCTTCTGTTTATTACAAATTGATATTGTGAACACAAAAGTTCCAGTGGGGAGGCCATGTCATTACAATAGAACTGCAGTAACATAAAAATCACAGATTTGATTTGGAAAATTATTTGGGATTTGTTTTAGGTGCTTTTTTTTCTCCAGATTACCAGTGGAGAAAGGGAGGAGAGAGAGTATCCAGTCTTCTCTGTGGGAAGCCCAGTGCAAGAAGCTTTCTGTTTAAGAAAGTGATTTTTCCACCCTGTTTTTTGGACCTGTGCACTGTACAAATCTAGCTCCATCCATAACGAGGACTGTATAACAGACACTTGATATAATGCCAGTAATACACTACTGGGCTTGTAAAGTCATACATTAACAGAGAGCAAAAGGCTCATTTTTAAGATGTCAGCCGAAAGACCAACTTGTGCATATTCCAGCTTGTGTTCTTTGGAAGCCTGGAATTTGATCTTGGGGTTCAAAGAATCTTATTTCTAAATGAAGATAGTTACTGCCTTAGTATCATCTGGGCCATAGTCCTCCAAGGTGTGAAAGCAATGAGATGACTCCAGCTCATTTCTTGGAAGATCAGGTGCTGGTTCCTCAGTCTCTAACAAAATGAACCAAATTCCTGTACAGGACAGATATTTACATTTTCTCTTTCTCTTTTTTCTTAAAGGGATCATTTTATAAAAGCACGTTACAAATGAACACCTATGTTGCCTTGTACAAATTTGTACCACAAGAAAATGAAGACTTGGAGATGAGGTAAAGCCCAAAAATAGTTATTTGTTGATTTGACCCATGCGAACTGAGGCTCATATGGCTGTATATGACTTCAAAGGAGGGAGGGTTCATTCTGACATTTGTACTAAACAGTTTTTATAGAGGTAGCCACTTGTAGATACAAAGACATTCTCATAGATAAAAGCTGGTGACCAACTTTTTTGGCAAGGACAATAGATAAAAACTTTCAAAAATACTTATGTCACTTTAGGAGCAAGATGGCTTTCAGCTAGAAAATATTCAGTTTTCAGTTGCTTTGGTTTTTCAACCAGATGTTTTCAAGTAGGAATTCCTCACCAGCTCTCACGCTAATGATGAACATTTTACCAGTCCTGTTTGATTTTCCCTCACATTCAGATTACGTCTGAGAAAAGAAAACAATGCCCAGCTGCTGGATGACAGTGTTTTCACATGAGAAAGATCCATTCTGATCTTTGCAAAATAATCTTGTTAATTATAATTTTTAACACTTCCTTCCTCAGTTCTGCATCCATTGCTAGCACTGCAAGGTCTAATCCAAGCCCACTGAAGTGAAAGGACATCTTTTCTTTTAGTGCAATTAGTTTGACTCATGCTACTCACATTTTGCATGGTCTTGCTAGAGCTCTTGTCATGAAATGTGTCAGCTCTCGTCAAGGCATCCTCTACATTAAAATAATCATGCACATGCCACAGAATTTAGGGAATTGCCAGAGAAATGCCCCTCTCGTCAGCATCTCCTTCACTGAAAGCCTTTTTCCTGTTCCCAGCTGTGCCTTCTTATCACTCTGGAACTAATAGGTGGGATGTAAGGCAGAAATTATAAGCTTCCCTATCATTCTGCTTTGCTGGCATTTCCTGATCATTACTTTAGGAATGTCAGCTCTTCAGGAAATAACCACAGGATACGGTGACCTTTAGTGCAACTTGCCGCTATTCTGCTTGAGGGATTCCACTTTGCATCCTGCTCCTTTAGGGGTGTATTCCAGCTTGCGTGTTTGTTCCATGAAGAGGAACACCGCTCAGACAAGCCTGCACTGGACTACCATCCTCACCAAGACATAGCAATCCAGAAAACACATCGTTCTCCAAAATTCTCCTGTCCCTCATATTAGGGGAAAAAGCAACCTGTGGTCTGCAACCTGGACTGTCATGACTAACAGGCTCTTTCCAGAGACACCAGCCAGGTTTTAGGCTAGTGTTAATCAGCTACAGCAACGTTGTTTGTCCCATGGCCAGAAATTCAGTAATATATGGGTTAACACTATTTCATAAGGGATGCCAAATAGCTAGTAATGTCATTTGGTCACTGCAGAGTCAGGCAGGATTCAGCTCAGTTGCATTAATTTTCATTTAACATAGTTGAGTTGCTGGAGATTTTAGTATAGCAATGTTGTCAAGACTGACAAGCACTGTCCTGGGAACCCAAGCCAGGGACCAGCCCTGGCTGGTCAGCCCTAACATAAAGAAGGCAAGTAGCAGGAGAAGGAGCTGAGCTGGGAAGAAGAGTTAGGGGGGATTTCTGGAGATCTCAGCTCACCTCTGAGGAGATGTAATGGGTGGCAGATTACTGCAGCGGAGAAGTGCCAGCCCTGATTTCAGCAGCAATTAGTACTTGCCACAACCTTGATTTCTTCCTCAACAGCAGGAGCAGCCAGTCAGGTTTTCCAAAGCTCTGGCATAAGTACAGGACATTCCAGGAATATGCTTGTTCTAAGAGACGACCTTATTTTACAATAAGTAGAGAGTCCTGGAGACAGGCAACCCCAGGTTTCAGACACTGCTATGATTAGAATAGAATAGAATAGAGTATTTGGAAGGGACCTACAATGATCATCAGGGGTTGCCTGGCCACTTCAGGTGGTCTATCTTGCCACCTACTGAAATCTAGAGCACTGATGTAGAGCAGACAACTTATCCAGGGTTGTGATTTACAGAAGAAAAAGATGAGACCTGAGAGTGATTTCAACCAGTAGCAAACACCAAGCAAGCTGCCCCCTTTCAGGGATTAGCAGCCTAAGTCCAGGAAGCAAGAGTAACATAGGTCCAGCTAGGACTTCTATTTTGAATCCTTTTTGGAGATTAGAGACATCTATGTTAGTCCTGTGCTAAAAAATATCAGAAAGCAAAATCTGCAGGTCTCGCATCTAAAAATCTCAGCGCTCAGACCACTGACATGGAAAGACTTTAGGTTCAGGTGCCATCTTTCTCTGACAGCCAAATAAATTTATATTTTCTAAGTTATTTTTCTAATGACCAGGCTGAAGGGTATTTGGAGGATACTCTAAATGCTTCTCGTTGAAAGAGTTCTTCCTTGCAGTGTAAGGGCTCCAATGGTGTTACAGCCTATTAACTTTGAAGTGGCAAGATGGGCTCCCTCAAAACCACTTTAAGTGTTTTATATTAAATATTAACTGGAATAAGGGACTCAGATGTCCTTTTCCATGGAAGAAATCTTTTACCACTGGGATACCAAGTTGTCCTTTTTCTCTAGCTTTCTTTCTCACCTCAGCAGCATTTAATTATTCCAAAGACATTGGAACAGCTTCCTGAGGAGGGCTTGAGGAAAATCCTACCCTGTTGCCCTATTGAAAGTGCCTTTTTGTGAAAGCTGGAAAACTCTGGTTCAGATCACGCAGAGTTAGAAGACTAAATGCCTGTTTCTCCAGTTGTCAGCAGCAATGATAACCACTGGGCAAGTGGACCAAAGAGGCCCAGCACCACCCCCACCTCCAGCTGCATCGTAGACAGGTCCACAGCTTCTATGCGTGCTCTGACAGAGCCCATTGGATTGAACCCATTATCCATCACATGCTCCAGACGTGTTTCAAAGCTCTTGTGCTGAGACCTCAACAATACAGTGAGCCTAACAAGGAATGCAAGGAAATCTGAAGGGGTCAACCGTTAATTTCATTAAGATGAAAAAAAATGCCTCTTATCAAGCAGACAGTGCTTTCTGAGGTTAATCCGTTTGGAAATGGGCTGCCACTTACTTTCTACAATGCAACGCTACTGTAATTACACAAGAATGTTGATGAAGTGCCACCAATGGGGGGAAGGAGGTCAAACAACTGTTCAACTACCTGGACAAAATCAGCTCAGCACATTTCGCTATTAGCATTTCCAGCCAAATTATTCTCCTAGCTCTGCTTTGGAACTAGTCAGCTGGATGCTGATACTTAGCAATTACAACCTTGCACCACACATTATAAAGGTAAATATGTCCCATTCAAATCAAGAAGACATTCCTGAGCAGAATTATATCCCTGCTGACTAATTGCCTTTGTCAGTTAAATAGAACTATTTTCCTGCTGCCTTCCTTCTGCAATCACAGCTTGAAAACACAGATGATAAAGTGGTGTGTCCCAACAATGTGAAATGTCTTGAAGTAACAAGATAATGCCTGTAACAAATAGGGACTGTATTTTAAACAGTTTCTTATTAAACAGGAAGGAAAAATTCCAGTTCACAGATGTTGTTTCAAAAAAAAGATCTAGCCCCAATATACAGACACTCTCTTTCTACATTACTGTGTATGATTGAATAAACCCTTGCTGCCTCATTGAGTCTACCTGTAGCGACTGCTCAGATAAAATGACCAAGGAAGGACCGCCTTCCTATTAGAAGGTAATTGTGGAAGCTAATGCAGCATAACAATTAAGAGTCATCTTAACTACTATTCCTCTTCTAATTACAGGCCAGGGGATATGATCACTCTTCTGGAAGACTCCAATGAAGACTGGTGGAAAGTATGTGCTAATTATTTTATATCTATCATCTGTTTCCTTTCCAAAGGGAAAAATATGTTATTTTCAATACTGAACTTGTATTAAAGCTACTAGTGTTAACAACCTCTTTCTATCAATATGTTTTCTCCACAGGGGAAAATTGATGACAGAACTGGATTTTTTCCTGCTAACTTCGTTCAAAGAGTGCAACATGATGAGAAGATTTACAGGTGTATCAGGACATTCATTGGCTGCAAGGAACAGGGACAAATAACTCTGAAAGAGAACCAGGTAAGCTTCCCTGTGCCGGACCCCCACCGGACTTGAGCATCCAGTAGTCTGACCAATGACTGGAGAGAAAGTTGGCAAGATGAGCATAGGCAGATGCTGTTCACTGCAATTTTACTACAAAATTTATTATTTGTATGGTAATAGTGTCTAGCAGCCAGTTAAGAGCAGTGTTGGTCTTGTGCAAACACATACCCCCTGCCTAACATAGCCTAAATTTTCAGTCTCACAGACGTTCATAAAGATACTTTAGATATTATGCACTCACCTACTGACTTCAGAGGGACAGCTTGAAGAAAACACATTCTTACAGGTAGACCGTGTGTGCCTGAAAAATGGTCCGGTTTTCTCCTCACTATTGGAGCTAATCTAATAAAAGGCAGTGGCTCCCTCCCCAGACCTTACCTTGCCTAAAGATCTAAACACAGCTCATTGTTTTGGCTTCAGCAGGGGCAGGTAGCAGGAGCAGGTTAAGACAACGCCAAACAAATGTGTAAATCTTAAATTTAACTCATATTCACCAGCTGCAAAGTATCTTTAATCATTATTTGCTTGTGTCACCACTTACACACCCTCTCTACAGGCTGTAATTTATTCTAAACTAGAAGTGCTGCTGTGAGTTGAAGTACACCACGTACAGTGAAGACTAGCAGGGTCCGTTCACCCCGGTGTACTTTCAGCAGCTCCTTCTACTTTGTGTCATTCGGGTGGGTTCACAAGGCGAAAGTCATAGCTGCCATTATGAGGTGTGTCTATGATCTGAATGTAAATGTAATTTTAAATTTTTACCAGACATTTAATACATCCAAGTGTCAAGTCTGGTGATTCTGGGATATAAATGCTTGCCGAGGTAAAGTGAGAGAAGGATAGTGCTCAAAACCTACATTAAGGGACAGGTTTGTGGCATAAGCTCATGTGGATAGGAGGGTGACTGACTAAGGGCAATGCAACAGCCTGGGTTCTCTGACACCCGGATGAAATAGAAAGCTAGATTTTTCTCACTGCATCTTGTGAAGCCTAATGTTCTTCCAACTCATTAGGTATTTCCTTTGGCAATTGATGCCACGTCACCAGGAATTGTTTGCCTTACAGTGCCTGGACAACCACTGGTTTTAATAAAGTAGAGCAGAAGTCGACATCAGGGTGGACTTCAGGGCCACAGGTTTTTCCACACAGAACTTCTGTAACGCTTTACTCCACTGGGGGATAAGAAGGTTAACTTGTACCTTTGCTACTGCTGCCTTGTGGCATAGCAAAACATACAAGTGCTAACAATCCTGGGATATACACAGCTTTTTAAGGAAGGCACAGCAATACAGCGACCAGAATATATTTTAACCGCCCCTGTGCACACAGTACATTGGGCAGCCCTGAAGTTGCTAGAAAGAGAGAAAGTGCTTAATTTTTTTTTTACCCAGCACCTCTTTTGATTGTTTATGTATGTGCACATAGAGGCAAAAAATATTACCAAAGCAGAACAAGAGGTTTTGCACCCTTTTTGCTCTAGAATAAGCAATGCACAAGGGAGAACCTTGGAGAAATGGTAGTGTGAGAATATGGTGTGCCAGCATGAGGGAATGGTCAAGGTCTGAGTCCCTTCTCATCAGTGGGCATACCAGATCCTCTCTGTTAGTGTGGTTGGTGCTGCAAACAGTGAGGGCACAGTTTCTTGCCTCATTTCTCACAAAACCATGGTTTCCAAGTGTGCAGGTCTGGCAGCTTCGTCTAAACACAAGGACTTCCTCTTGTCCCTATTTCATTATAGGCTCACAAGGAAGCTCGCAGTCAGGAGCTCATCATCGTCTCCGGTAGGGCAGGAGGTAAAGGAAGGGGTGAATCCGTCCTGTCTGTCTACTACTTCCTCTTTTTTAGCAAACTTATTCAGCCCTATCTCAAACCCACATAAATGCTGAGGTTGAATGCGAATGCTGTCGGGTCCTCACTCCATGTGGGAGAGGCTTCAGAAGAAGAAAGAAATATATATTTGATGTAAAACAGGGGGCAGAGATCAGACTGAACAAACACACGAATGCAGAGACATGAGAGGAAAGGAGTGGAGCCAACAGATCCCACTCCACCCTTGCACGAATTATGCAAAAAGGGGACATGCAAGCAGCCTCAAGGCCATTTTGAGTAATTTCCAGGTGGGAAAGTCACAGCGAGGCCATGGACACTCATCTGCTTCCCCTTGCATCCCCATGCAGTGTTTGAGCCCCCCATAATAGCCCCCAGTGAGAGCTGGCAGCCTGCACAGAGCCAACATGTAGCAGCAGTATGGGGACAGGAGCACAGGGACTCCTGAACCCAGCCTGTGTGACATGTGCCCACCATGGAGATCACTGCCTGAATGGCACAATTTTTTGTCTTTTTTTTTTTTTTTTAGCAGAACAACTTTGCCTTTACTGTGGAACAACTCTGATTGTGAAAAACTTTTTAATTTTTATTGGGAATTTTTTACTTTAAAAATTTATTTTACATTTCCAACGTCAAATTTCCTTTCTTCTTTTTTCAGTCATTTCTCTTATTTTCTGTCCTTTATTTCCCCATTGTTTTCCAAGTGAAGCACAGAGAGGGGTGCCGTAGAGAAGACATAAAAATTAAAAATAACATCTGAATGGCACTTCTGGGAAAAGTTTGTCAGAATTCTTTTCCTTTTTTTTTTTTTTTTTTGTTTTTGTTCTAACCGGGGATTTCTGTGGGATGTAACCAGCCATTTTAGCTGTCTCTGAGCACAGTGTCCAGAGTGCTGGGAGCACAATATATGTACTATGTGCAAAGCGCTGGCTTGTTCCAGATTAGCAAGAAGGGGAAATTATTCATTGCTACCAATTCCTGTCAAGTCTCACTTTAGCTAGAAAAACTCATTAACTGGTCTAATAAATTCCTGTGACTATAGTATGGCAAATTGTCTCCATTTTACACTGTTAATTAACTGGGTCAAATTCTGCAGGGTCTAACAAGTGTCCAGAGCCATTCTGACAATGAAGGCAAGGAAGATATGCCATCAGGAAAACTTATTCAGTATATTGCTTGATACCATCCATGGTTTATACTGCAGGTCTCTATCCCCTTTGTGCCTTATATGAATGTTCCCAGGTAGAGAGTCTATTCTTGTAAGTCAAAAGGCAATATATTCGCATCAACAAAGCCACAAGAATACCTTAAGAAAAGCCATTTCAGGCAAGCAGAGGTATTTTCAAAGTTTGAAGCACAGTGGATGAGGCTTCCTCTGGAATCGCTTGCCAGTTTCATGCCCTGGGAATAACATTTTGAGCTTCAGCTTTGTGCAAACCTTTCTGGCAAAGCCAATACTCAAGGAGAGGACTGAGGGAAAACCAACGCAATTTGCTCACCCATCCTGAGCAATATGCACGAGCTAGTCTTCACAAAGGGTCCCTTGAAAATTTCGTTATGAAATATGAAACCCAGCCTGGGGGAGAAAAAGTGTACTGCTTCAGAGACATCAATATCTTGGAGTTTAGGGTTCACTGACAGATTTGTGGGTCCTGAAACAAATTCAGAAGAGGACTGGGCATCACAGGGTTCAGTCAAGAATCTGTGGGAGGGAGGCAGAATTAGCCCCTGACATCAGTAAAGGAAGATTATTAACAGGGAAACAAAAACCAATTTCTGTGGCTTTCCACTCTTTTAAGGTGTCTCACACACAATACTGGCTGCATAATTTCCAACTCCAATTGATTGTACCATCACTTGGATATATAAAGTTTTCTCTAGCCTGTAACTTCTGCTCTAGCCTACCCGAATTCATTACCACACATTATACAAATGCTTCTTTGCATGACTACAGGCTCTGATTTGACCTCTTTTCACAAAAGAAGAAATCACCATTTTGAAAATATATATCTCATACATCATCAATGTTTGGAAAAGCATCTCTTAAAATGCCTCTAACATTATTGATCATCCTTATTTTTAAAGAAGTCATAATAATCTATTGTTTGAATGTCTGTTTTTATTCCTCTTATAATATCCTACTTAAATAAAGGAAATAACCTCTTTAAAAAAATCCTACTCACACCCTTCACTGGCAGCCTCTCTGACGTCTACAGTCACACTAATACAAACCACTTTAGAGTTGGGCTTTTTATGATTAAATAACACAATTTATTTTAAATTGCACAAGTGATCTTGTGCAAGAGAAATGACCCCAAACCACAACATTTGTAACAAGACTGGCATCAGAAACTCTCTGCCTCATCCAAATGTGGACTGTGAGTTTAAATAAAGGTCAGTGCAACAGATCCATTTTGCAATGGATGTGTTTTATAAATGTCACTGATGTAAGCTAGCCCTGTTACCGAAAGCATCTCCCAGCCAGCTTCTGTGGTGACTGCAAATGGGCCACTGCTGTTGTGATGGCCACAACCTCTGAACCAGAGCTGTCAGCCTTGTTGTCCCCTTCGCACCACAGCTCAGGGGACAAACTTCCCTTCTATCCCAATATCCAGTCACACAAATTTCAAAAAGAGTGACTTTTAGGCACACGTACATTAACAGCTATGTGCTGATCTGATCCAACCACCCCAGAAGAGCCTGGCAATGGGCTTAAACAAATCCATGACGTTAGGCTTAACAAGGCAGGATTGCAGCCCAGGTCTCAGCCCCAGGGGATCCACCTGTCTCGAGTCTTCTTCTGATTAGTCTGGGTGCTTTGTTGCTACCTGGCTTTTCACCTCACTGCCTAGGAATTACTTTATGTCCTCACATTTTTCATCCTGGGATACTCTAAAAGGAGCTGAACTTCTAAGAGCATGACTCAGCTGCCTTTGAAAATCAGTTGCATCACGGTGACTTTTGCATTCGGACTGAATCACTTAAAACACAAACCCAGAGCAGAAAGTGAAGTTGCAGTTCTTCATGTGCTCCCCAGCTATAACTGCTGCACTTCACAGCTAGACTTAAGGGGAAAAGGGTCTTTTTCCAGCTATCTCTGATTTTCATTGACATCAGTCTTGCTGAACAGGGAAAGGTGTCCCCATTCATTCAGAGATACTGAGTGGCACACAAATTTTGCAAGAGTCCAAAACAGGGGCACAGCCCATTACGCATCCAGTTTAGTCCAGGTCATCTTTAAAACCCTAAATAAGTGCTGTAGGTAAAATAAGTTGGTGTTCTCGGTCCAAAAGCTAATGAAACAGCTGATATAAAACCTATCATCATCATTTGCACTATGGTTGAATGGTTATGAAAACTGAACTACTTATCATTTCAATCCACAAAGCTGACATAGGCAAGAACTTCAGTGCACAGGCAGCAGCAGATGTAGAAACTCAGTGTCCCTGTGCTGTCATTCCTACAGACAAACAGAAGACTTGAGTTTTCAAACCTCTTGACCTGGCAGTGTCTGCAGGCTCCAGGACAGCTCTTGAAACTGTACTGTCCTCATAACCGAATTCCTACTTCATCAGAACCAGTCTGTGGCTGAGAGATGGGTTAAATATATGGGAAAGAGAACATAAACAAAAGACAGCTGCAGAAAACTAGAGCAAGTTCAAAGTTACTCCTGGACAAAGACAATTTGCCACTTGAGCACAGATTCAAAACACAGGACTTACTTAGAAGAACAAGAGAGTACTAATGACCGTGCAGCTTAAAGGATCATTTCCTAATTGCTCATCTCCCCCATCTGCTTGGAGCTGACTGATGGATAAAAAATCCTGAGGGCACATGTTGACAAGTTCAGACAACAGTCATGATCTGAACAGTTGTTTGATTTATTTTTAGTGTTGTTTTGATTTTTTTAAACAAAATGAGATGAAAGAATGGGGAAGTGACTTTATAATATTAGATCCCACTTTCAGCTAGTTCTGAAGATTACTTGATAACTGAGAAATAGCCTGAGATGTGGTTTCTTACCCTGTGGCTTACTCCACTACTAACCTTTTGAGCCAGGGCACAGGAAAAAAAAAACCACAACTGTTTGTCTCCATTTGTGTTGCTACCAAATTCACTGGACAGTGGCTGCTCAGTGGCTGCCTTACCTTGTCAGGCCAGCAGCCTTCCCCCCAAAACATGGCAGCCTGAGTAGCTGCCATTTTAAGCAGTTTCCAATTTGATACAGCAAACCGTGAGCTCCTGATGGTAGCTGTGGCACCTTGTGCCTTCACAACCATCATGTTTGCCGTCTGTCACCAGGGCTAGTCCTCAGTGACAGCTGATTCATCAGGTAGAGTCCAAAACTCTGGATACCACCATGCACATGATTTACACCCACCTAAGAAAGTCAAGAGCCAAATCCCAAGGCTACAACTTGTGGGTGAAATACTTGGCAGCACTCACAAAAGGGGATGAGGACAAAAGTGGCCAAAGATGGTGTTGTGCTCCCTCTTTTCCAAAACAGCAGAATTTGGAGCAGCTCCAGGGTTTTGCAAAGCTCCAGCAGCTGCCACAGCCCCGGGGGACTCTTGAGTCGCACACGATTAGGAAAGTGTGGCGTATCGTGGCCGAGCTCACTCTGCCCCCAACACATTCCCTTCCTTCGGAAGGAGTGGGAAAAAACTCTGCCAGCCAGGGGCCAGCACATGCAAGGCTTAGTGTATTAGTGTGAAAGAATTTCAGCTGGAATTTGAGAGAATTCAGATCAATGTATTAGTATGTAGAGTGAGAGAAGTTCTTACAGAAAGGCTTTGTACTCCTAAAGCTATTGCTGTAGCAGAGCACTCCCACTGATATCAAGGAGCACTCAAACCAGCAGCAGAACCAAAAAAAACCTCTAAAAAAGACAAAATCTGCCATCCTTTTTCACTCCAAATATAAAGAAAACCAGTGTTCAGAAAGTTCAGTATTTTTCTTTTGTCCACAAATCATTCTGCTGACAGTACAAGACATCAGGGAAAATACTCTGTTCTCGCAATATGTTCTGCACAGCGCCAGAGGTTAAGCAAGAAATGCAGCATGGCTAGTGAGCAGTGCAGACCTGCTGCAGGTCGCTTCTGGAGATCTGACTACTTTTGGGGTTTCTTTGGCCCATGCAAAAAGCTAGAGGTCTTGCAGACATCTTTAGTTAGGAGGAAAGCACAGTGATGGAGTGAGGCATTCCTTTTAACCAGTCAGGTCTATTTATAGAGAAGCTGCAAAGGCTCATTTTTCTACACAGCAGCAGGGATCAACTGAGAAGGGGCATCTTTCAACCAAGATGCTCTTTCCTACTCTTGGATACTCCGCCATGCTCAGCCATCCTTAGTCTGGTGCTTCTTTGTAGGCTCTTTCTCTCATCATTGAAGTTTTCATAATCTTTCTCAGAGACACAGACCAACATCTAGCAGTAGTCGGAAACACCTTTCTGTGCATATGTACTTTACACCTCTCTGCTTCGAATGGTGATGTGACTGGAGAGGGAGCAGCTGCTGTGCTAGGGACTCATGACACAGATGAGCTTGGCTTTTTTGCAACAGTACCTAAACTAAACAGCATCAATTACATACCTCTCCCACGCTTTCTGTGTGATTTAGCTCAAACAACAATACATTATTTTTTTTAAGTGCATGTCAACTCTGTTGGTGTGCTCAGTCGTTCTGCCCCAGGGATCCAATTCAGTTAGTGTTAAGCGGGTAGCTTAAGTAAGAAAATTATTGAGTCCATTTGTTTTCCAAACCCTTGTTTGCAGGTACAGAGGTGCACCTGACCATTTCCGAATACTAGAGGTGGCAAATATGAAGCAGCTTCACCTCCTTCTTATGACCTTTCATTTCCCTCTGGCAGCATCAGTGTTGCTAGTAAATTTTATGTATGTAACAACAGGAGGACAATCTGGTCCAGAATTCAGATGTGGTATTTATGTGTCACCATACAACCCATAACAGTCATGCCGAAATGCATTTAGCCAGGAACATTGTCGAGCCATTTTTGTTCATTTCATACCCTCTGAATTATTGTAGTTAAACACTGTAAATACCTATCAGACAGAGCCTTTGTGAGCATTAGTCCAGACAGAGGGCTTTAAATACCTGGCACTGACATCATGAGAAATCAGTGAGTTGGTCTCAATAGGACCATCAGTTTTATGGCTATTTTTTAACCTTGTTTGATGAGTAGGAAATATATAGTTCCTTGGCACAGATGTTTGAAAACAATTCTTTATTTTGTGTGGGCCTGTGCTCAAGTGCGCAGTTTAAAGTACCTGTGCCACTAGGCTTTCAAATGGCTCAGCCACTAGCAGAAGTATCTCAGGATGGGCCCTAAAATGGAAATACCTGAGATCACAAAGATCTTCAGGAAATGCAAACCTTTACCATGATGTAATATTTGTACTACTGTAAAGACCATACAGTTTCACCATAATTGCCTCCACTTGGAATAGGTGTTACGCAAACACACTCGCAGAGCTGGGTTCAGATCAAATACTTTGGTATCCACAACAGGCACAGGAACCTGTAGGTGCAAGAGCTGAGTAAATAACATAACTCACTGCCCATCTGAGAAGTACCTGGGCTCCTTAAACATGCAAAAGAGAATATGCTTGCATTCAGATCAGCTGCTACGAGTGACCCACCTTGGCATCATGATTACTTTTCTCCACCAACTGTTGAGGGAGCCAGCTAGCTCATGATCTGAAATACCCAATCCTCTCATACACAGACAACTGAATCACAATCATTACAGGAGGCTGAAGTCATAATTCAAGTTTCAAAATTATTTTAATGTCTCTAATGTATATGTGGCACTTCAAGAAGGCAGGGGGAAAGGTGATTCTCTAAATATATGAATTTGAATTTCTTACCAAAGCAGTGAGAGTCTAAAAAGGATTGTTCTACTTATAGAAGTAACTAGCAGGATGTCTAACCCATCTGATAAATAGCCTGGAATAATTTGTCGCTTGATCATGGCAAAGAGTTTATTATTTTCATACCTTCTTTGCATTCAGATTTGTGTGACTTCTGAAAAGGAACACGACGGCTTTATCAAAGTATACAGTGGGAAGAAGAAAGGCTTTGTCCCCATAGACGTCTTAGAAAACATCTGATTTCAACAGCCCACTTGCTGCAGTAGGAGCCCTTTGTTGGCAATGCCTGTCTGCCTCATCTCACACTGTGTCAACCCAGATGGGCTGTCTTGCAGATGTTCAGGGAAATAGTGAGAAAACTGCAACTACAAGAAGAAAAAGATATTTAGACTGCCACAGCGACACTAAGAAATAAGAAAAGTGGAATGATTGAAAGAAAATATAGTCAGAAACCACTGGGGAAATGAGAGGTCCTTGGATACTAGCAGGAATAAGGTAAGGAAGAAAAAGTCTGGGCTGATTTCTGGTGCAAGATGGCTGTTACGACCCTGATGGAGACAGACAGCTTGTTCTGAAGGACTAAATTCGTGTCCTGTTCTTGTGTCTTAGAAAACTGTTGGACTGCTTTCTTGTTTGAAGTGTGTATTTAGGGGGGAGGGGGGAAAATACCATTCGAACTGTCCTCGTACTACAGTCCAATGCTTGTAGTAAAGTGTGGCTGTGGTTCTACTGTTTTGTCCCCAGTATCAACCGATCAGTTTAAGCGTTTAATCCTGGTGTTTAGTCTCATAACAAAGCAGTTTGGAGACACCATGTGAACGTCAGTCCGAGAAATGCACTGTGCCCTGGAAGTCGGCAGCTTTCTCTTTCTGTGCAATCTTCCCATATGAAAGAGTAGCGAAGGTGTGTGTCCTTTGTTTTCTCTGTACACTAACAAAAGCTCTCAGCATATGTCGGGTGTGATGGCTGCTCTCATAGCTCACAAAAATAGCCAGTCCTCCGATTCACAAGCCTGCTTGGAAGCGTCCCTCCATGTTTCCTGCACCTTTATCTGGTGATACAGAAAATGGGTGAAATGCTGGGAAAGAGCCACAGGCTTGAAACATTTTATATTTTTCTGTGTTTATCGCACTTAAAAGATTTTATATATTAATCCTATTTATAAAAAATAAAACAGTTAACTAACCCCCTGGAAGACTGAAAATGTTAGGAAAGGACAGACTGCACATAAAAGTGACATCTGTAATTATCAAAATCCAGAACTCATGACAGAAAGGCACTGAGTGTCTTAGCATTGTGTTCACACACCAAAGGCATCTTCTTCATTTGCTAAATAGAAGTTTTGCAGATTCAGCAGTAAATACATGGCATGAGTTCCTCCTTGGCATAAACCACCGTCAGCGTCCTGTAAATCTTCTCCATCCCAGTGAGACTGTGCAGACAGCTCTGTTTTGTCCATGTAAGACTCCATCTTCAAATATGTTTTGGGCATAGGAACCTTTTGGTACCTGGAGAGCAGTCTGTGGGACCTGTGGACCTTGACCAAATTATATGTCAGCCAGTGCCGATCCTGTTGTAGCACAGGGGCCTTATGATGTTTAGAGACAGGGAACCTAATTTCCAAGTATTTAATTAGATGTAATTACACCAAATACACTTAAACAGCTTAGCATGTATTATGACGTAGAGATTAAGTCCTATCCCAAAGCTCCCTGCTGAATTCATGCCGTAGTTGACCTGCTTGAGACTGAATGCCAGCCTTTACTGCAATTAACCCCAAATTGACATCCTAAATCCTGATACTGCAAGAAGAAATTCAGATGCTGCCAGGTTAGTATAGGCCTTTGCAAAGTTGACACTATTTCTAAAAACAAGCTACCGGTTCTGCTTCCACATACTGAGGAAGTTTGAATCTGTGTTGCACAGTCCAGGTCCCATAGTTGGGTTGGCCTATTTGAGTAGCTGATCTTACACAAAGCCTTGTAAAATCCAGTGCAACTCTACACATGACCAGAAGCTCACAGAGCAGATCAGTCTTCAACCTCTCAGAGACACATTTTGCAGTTCTTACATATCACTTAATTGCAGAGGGGGAAGTTGCAGGGGTGTCAACTGCTGAGACATGGTCCTTGGTAACGTAAGTGGTCTATACCAATTATTAATGTCCTCCTGGCTGATCAAAAGTATCTGATTTCATATCTTCTGTGGGAATATCAGCAATTTATAATTTATTTTTTTTTTCAGTTCAGGCAATGAGCCCTTGCTCAGCTCATTTTCCTAAGTAACCAATAAACTCAGTGGGACAACAGTGGGTTCTGATAAGCCTTAAAGATCAAGAGGAAAAGCAGTAGAGCTATAATAATCCACTCTGCTTTATAAGAGTATTTCTTTTACATTCACCCATTCAAAGGAAAAACTCAAGTGTTTGTTAGAATTAAAATATTTGCTACTTTTGATCAGGCCTGTCAAGTGGGCAAAGGAAATCTGTATTACTCTATAGATATGTGCTGTTGTTTACATGATTGCATCATACTGTGGTCCCGTCCTATTTCAGTCTGAT